ACTTTTTAGTTTCTATCAAATTGCAAATGGCAAGAGGAACCAGAAAAACTCCAGCTGATTCAGAACTCAGGACTGGTTTTACATACTGCATTACAATATTGAGGCTTTTAAACTTTGGTGTTACCAAAGACTCCTGAAAATATAAGGGATAGACAAGAAAATAAATGATCAAATTGATTCAGAGTTCTTACTTGTGGTATAAATGACCATGCTCAAATTATCACATTTTGGATGTATTATGTATAACCAAGCTCTCTTGAGTAATTTATAATGCTGAGAATAATAAAAAGGGACCAACCAGCAGCATAATATATGGACATGATTTCAGTAGTAATGGGTACACCATTAGAAAACCTGAAAAACCAGATAAAGGACACATCACTATGAAGAAAATCTACCAACATGATGCTGGTAATCAAGATGAGGTTGACTCATTAAGAGTCAACACCAACTTGATTATTGCCATCAATCACACTATGTTTACTCCTAGTTTGTTTACTAAATCACAACTGGCTGGGGTCTTATTCTAATGACTTAGAATGACTTGCATACCATAGCAAGTTCATATGATGACCTTCTAAAATTAAGAATCTCTCCCAAACTTATCTCTGAACTGAAATGTTTGTGACAGGTGAAAGTATTGTGTTTGTGTGTGTATATAAAATTCAGATTATCAAATCAGCTGAAATCACAGACTATTCTTTTCTATGGTGATGCATGAACTACCCAAAAAGTTTAAATTTATGCTGTATAATTCAACCCATCATGGCTCTAAAAAACCTTGCTATAAAAATAGTAAAAGCCTCATAATAGGCAGCAGTTGCAATCTATGTCATCTAAATCAGTGGTCCCCAACCCCCGGTCCACGGACCGGTGCCGGGCCGTGGAGTACCTGGCACCGGGCCGCGCAGCGGCCGGGGGACATGAACGCTGCAGCGCAAAGGCTCCTGGGCCGTGCTCAATGGGCCGTGTGCAAAAGCTCCTGGGCTGTGCCCCCACCCCTGCGCGCACTCAGCGGGCCGCGGCGATAAAAAGGTTGGGGACTGATCTAAATGATCAACAGTTCATACATGCACCAATGAGGGAGAATATTTGTAGTTTAGTGTTTGAAATGAAGGATCCTTGGTGCTCTCTGAGCTTGCTTGTTTTCTTGCAGACATTTCATTATCCTATATCCTAACTCCATAACATCATCAGTGCCAGTAAGGAGTGCTGTTTGCTGTCAGTTTATATTCTGGTATTTTACCTGTCTTGTCCGCTCTCACCCACACAGACAGGCAAGACACCAGAATACAAACTGACAGCAAACAGCACTCTTTACTACCTATTTTAAGGTAATGAAATGTCTGCAGAACAGGGGCAATCCCTGCCTCTTTTCTACCAAGATTTGACAAACGCTCCAACACCAAATGAGGGGAATTTATTGAAAATAACACACCCAAGCCAAGGTCAACCAAGGGCTGAAACCTGGCAAGGGGAAGAAATATTTTTTTAAAAAGGAGAGAGAGAGTGTGAGTCCTTCTAAGCTTCCCTTTGTTAAGCACGGCTATCCACTTACGGAGCTGTCCGGCGCCAGGCTCCTTACCGCCTCCGACCATCGCTATGATCCCGGGAGCTACTGAGGCGGAAGGAGTCGGTGCCAGGGCTCCGGCGCCGCCCGCACTTTGCCGCTCGAAGTTGCCAGGATTGGAAAAATAGTCGCGCAGGCGAGGCAGCTCCCGGCCGCTCTCCAGAAGCTCCGTGTGCAATTCCAGCGCCGTCAACACGAACTGGTCGCGCAGCAGCTGAGCCGCTAAAGCATCCACGGGCACCCGGGGCGGTTCCTCGGCCTGTGCAGGCGGCGGCAACAGTTGCTGAAGGGGTGGCGAAGAGGAGGTGGAAGACGACACCGGGAGAGGAGCGCCCAAGACGCCGGGGTCGCTGCTGCTGCTGCCCCCCGGCCTGGTCTCCTCTGGCTCGGACTCTTCGGAGTCACTGAGGAAGGGGTTCACTCCCCCGCCCCCCACCACCGCCATCTTGGGAGAAGAGGAATTCCCCCCAGAGCCGCGCGCTCTTCCGCGCGCCCCAGACGAACCCTGTTACCACAGCAGCCGGCGGCAACCCACCAATCCCTCTCTCGCTCTCTCGCGAGCGCGCGCCCGGGCGCCTCCTGTCTTTCCGAGCTCGGTTTCCGCATAGGAACTCTCGCGAGATCGTCCTCGCTGCATTTCCGGTTCCTGAAGATACCGGCAGGCCTGAGGGAATCGCTCGATTCCCTTTAGTTGCAAGGGGGTGGGGTGGGGAAGGGGACGTTCGTTAAATACAGGCAGTCCTCAATTTACGACCACAGCGGAGCCCAACATTTCTGTTGCTAAGTGATTTTTGCCCCATTTTACGACTTTGCTTGCCACAGTTGTTAAGCGAATCACTGCAGTTGGTAAATTAGTACAGGGGTTTTCAACCTTGGCCACTTTAAGACTTGTGGACTTCAACTCCCAGAATTCCTCAGCCAGCTTTGCTGTCAGTTTATATTCTGGTGTCTTGCTTGTCTTGTCCAGGAATTCTGGGAGTTGAAGTCCACAAGTCTTAAAGTGGCCAAGGTTGGAGACCCCTGAATCAGTAACAGGGTTGTTAAGTAAAACAGGTTTCCCCCCATTGACTTTCTTTGTCAGAAAATCGCTGAAGGGGATCACATGACCTCAGGACACTGCAACCGTCATAAATTATGAGTCTGTTGCCAAACATCTGAATTTTGATCACGGGACCATGGGGATGCTGAGATGATCCTAAGTGTGAAAAATGGTCTTCAGTCACTTTTTTTCATTGATGTAACATTGAACAGTCACTAAATGAACTGTTGTAAGTCTAGGACTACCTGAATGAGCCAGCAATGTGCTGCAGCTGTCAAAAAAAGCCAAAACAATCTTAGGCAGTATTAACAGAGGGATAGAATCAAGATCACGGGAAGTGACACTGCCGCTTTAGAATGCCTTGGTAAGACCACACTTGGAATACTGCATCCAATTTTGGTCACCACAATGTAAAAAAGATGTTGAGGCTCTGGAAAGAGTGCAGAAAAGATAATGGGTATGTATATGTGTGGTTTCTGAAGGCTAAGACCGTTTGCGGGAATTGGGTATGTCTAGTCTAGTGAAAAGAAGAACTAGGGGTGACATGATAGCAGCTTTCCAATATCTAAGGGCCATAAAGAAGAGGGGATCAACCTATTCTCCAAAGCACCTGAAGGCAGGACAAGAAGAAATGGATGGAAACTAATCAACTACCAAGGGCCTTGGTGGCGCAGGGGACTAAAGTGCTGTTAAAGTAGCACTTAACTGCCAGCTGCCTGCAATTAGTGCGAGTTCAAATCTCACCAGGCTTAAGGTTGACTCAGCCTTCCATCCTTCCGAAGTAGGTAAAATGAGAACCCAGATTGTGGGGGCAATAAGCTGACTTTGTATAAAAAAGAACACCGCTTTGGGGGGGGGGCAAAAGCCCTACTAAGCAGGTATATACAAAAGTATGAAGGCTATTGCTTAACACATTGTAAGCCGCCCTGAGTCTCCGGAGAAGGGCGGCATATAAATCGAACCAATAAATAAATCAAGGAGAGAAGCAACTCAGAACTAAGGAGAAACTTCCTGATAGAACAATGAACCAGTGGAACAATTTGCCTTCAGAAGTCGTGGGTGCTTCAACACTGGTGGCTTTTAAGAAGGGACTGGACAACCATTTGTCAAAAATGTTATGAAGTCTCCTGCTTGAGCAGGGAGTTGAACTAGAAGACCTCCAAGTCTTCCAACTCTGCTTTCTATTGTTTGAAGAGTAGCTTCCTCGGTTATTACAATGCCATTCTCACCTCCCCAAGGGTTTGTGCTGCCAAATGGACAAGTGCTCCAAAGCAGAAGTTTGTTATGGCGGCAGATTAGGAAAGAGTGTAATCTCCCACCAGTAATGAATGAAGATGAAAATATTGCAGAAATTCCTATTCTTTATAAGTCAGCTGCATATTTCCCTTTGAAACCTGAAAGATTAAGTTAGGGATAGATTTTCTCCATGATGCTCTCTCAGGTGGCTAGAAATGGAAAATGACTTTATGACACATAATCAATGTTTTCCTTTTGTTAAAAAAAAGTTTCAAACATTGTCCTGCAGAAATAGTAGTCCTAATTTTATTTTTTACCATGGGTTGTACCCATGGTATTTTTTTACCATGGACTGTTAACTGAGACAATATACTCTTAACATTTTCTTTAACAATTATTTACCTGAATTCAAGATCAAAGGCTATGGACCTATAAGGTGAAACAGAAAAGGTTTATGGAAGTTCTGAGGGCTAGTTTGGTAGCATTGGGCTAGAAATTGGGAGACTGAGTTCTAGTCCCACTTTAGACAGGAAGCCACGAAGATGATCTGGGCCAGTCACTAGAATGCAAGAAACCACCCCCCCAAAGATCTAGATTTAGCTCTAGAGATGCAAAAATCAGAACCGTGAGAAATTAAACAGCTCCAATTCTAAAAGAGAATTTAGAGTTGAGTGTATTACAATAAAAATAGTGTGCTGTTCTCTATCATGTCATAAAATTTCTATAGTTTTTGTAATGATTTTCTAATGAGAAGCCAAAGGGTATTATTCTAGTTATATCCTCTTTGGCCCTTGTAATTTCCTCCCTCTCCCCTTCAAACTGTCCAGAATGCAAGCCTATATGGCTTCTTTATTCTGTAACAGGCAAATTATATCCCATAAAAGGATGCTGCTCTTACAGGTTTGGGGATAAAACCTGAAACCTGTTCTATTAAGCATTTTACCAGGACTCATGCAATTGTGGTCCAAACATATTCTAAGATTTCCTATCTTTAAAGTATACTTATTTTAAACGTTCAGATGTGTGGACTTCAACTCCCAGAATTCCCCAGCTAACTGAATTCTGGGAGTTGAAGTCCACGCAGCTTAACGTTGCCAACCCTGAGAAACATTGCAATTATTTCCCGCTATCTTAAGTTTTCAATTCTCAGAATTCCGATCTGATGCTGGCAGAGTGTTTTGGAAATTGTAGGTTAAGATCTCCCCTTAGTGTTGGGAGAAGAGCGGTGAATGAGAAAGCCATTCAGCACGAAATCTCCCGAGTTCATCCTGATTCCTAGAGATCTCGCGATACTCTTTGGCCGCTTTCGCGATGTGGGAGTTGTGACGTTGTTGAAGGCAGAGCGTGGCTTTTTACGGAGTGGTGATAACTTGTAAGGAGTTCGTGAACGTTTTGCTTTCTGCGCTTTCTTCCATTGCTTTTTACCACCTGCCAAGTGTGGTGGCGGATTTTTTTTTTTTTTTTTTTGCTGGTCCGCATATGTCTCCAAGGAAACGATCGTCCTCGCAGTAGCCGGTGGAATGAGCCAGGTAAGCACCAGAAATAAGAAGTCGCTTCCTGAAATGATGCTGAATGTTCTGTTTCCTGACGCGTCTCTTGCCTGCAGGGAGTGTTCGGTAGGTTTTGATTTGGGTAGAAAGTGGGGACTGGTTATGCCCAGGAGATGTGTCAATAGCTTGTGGTTGGTACTCTTGTGTTTAAGCATGCCAACAACAACAACATGATAAGCTATGCATCATTGTAGACACTAATATACCATTGTCAATACATTAGATTGCTGGAATTAAAAGTAATCGTTTGCATAAGTGTGTGTGCATGGACTCAGGTCTCCAGCGAAGCTTGAGTTTAGGTGCCATCATTGTGGTTTAAGCATGCCAACAACAACATGATAAACTGTGCATTATTGCAGACACTAATATATTGCCACTACATTTCGATTGCTGGAATTAAGAACTCTTGAAGTAATCGTTTGCATAAGTGTGTGTGTATGGACTCAGGTCTCCAGCGAAGTTTGAATTTAGGTGCTGTCATTGTGGTTTAAGCATGCCAACAACAACATGATAAGATGTGCATTATTGCAGACACTAATATATTGCCATTACATTCGTGTTACAATATTTTGAGGATCAGACTCAATAATGAATTCAGAAGTAATTTCTTCAGTTAAAGAAGTATTTATTCATAATAGGCATTCTACTTATTCTGTCAGATTTACAGTGAGAAGCAAGCCTGAGGTAAAAGCACTCTCTATTTATATCAAAGGGGAGGAGTCAAGGATGAGGGTGATTACATATGAATACATTAATGGAGGAGGAATAAGTTAACTCTTAATATCCTGTACATATATACATATCTCTTGTTATAGAATAAGGCATTTACTTATGACAAATCCCCCTCTAAATGCCGATTCGATATATAACAATGATTGCATTCGGATTCAGAAATATATAGTACTTGTAATTTTGAGGTCAAGTATTTGTGTTGTTTAGAAGGTAAAGGTTTAGTTAATATATCAGCTATTTGTTCTGAGGTTTCGCAGTGGATTGCTTTAATGAATCCATCCTGAGATAATTGTCTCACGTGTTTAAATTTGATATCTATATGTCTGGACCTTTGACCAATGGCGTCAGATCTTGATATTTCAATAGCTGCCTTATTATCTTCATGTATGACAAATGGTAGTATTGGATTTTTCCAGATATCAGATAATAAATCATTAAACCACACTAAATTATTTGAGGCTTTAGATAAACAGACGTATTCTGCCTCTGTTGTGGAAGTCGCTACTAAATCTTGCTTCCCAGTGTACCAGAATATTGGACAATCATTTAAAAATAATACATAACCTGAGGTGCTCTTTCTACATTTGATGTCACCTGCCCAGTCTGCATCTGCGTAACTGGTGATAATAGGCTCTTTAACATTATTGGGTTCTAAGAGTAGGCAGAAATCTATGCTGTGCTTTAGATATCTTAGTATTCGTTTAACTGCTTCCCAATGATACATGAGTGGTTTACTTACATGTCTAGATAATAGATTAAGTGGTAGAGCTATATCAGGCCTGGTCCAATTAGATATATACAAGAGAGAACCAATAATTGATCTATACAATGTATTGTTCTCGAATTCAGGAGAAGATTCATCCATATTCCTTAGAAAATCAGTCTGCATAGGAGTATCACAGGGTTTGGCATCTCTTAAATTGCATTTTTCCAGAAGTTCTATAATTTTATCTCTCTGAGATAATCTGAATCCCTTTCTTGTCTTATTGATTTGAACTCCAAGGTATTTATTTACCTTTCCTAGCGACTTTAAAGAGAAATGTTCACTTAGCTTGGATACAAATAAGTCTTTCTTTTCTTTATGTTTGCCTATATACAAAATATCATCCACATAGATTAACACAAATTCTAATGATTCACCTTCCCTTCTAACAAAAAAACAATTGTCTGCAGTTGTGGCTTTGAAATCCATATTTTTAAGCACGCTGACTAGACATTCATACCAACGCTTGCCGGATTGTTTTAATCCGTACAAGCTTTTGTTAAGTAACCAGGTCTCATCTCTGTTTGTACATTGGCTATGTGGTGCCCTTACATATATCTCTTTATCGAGTTTTGCATGTAAGTATGCAGTCTGTACGTCATATTGGAAGACATCAAGGTTGAGTATAGCTGCTATGACCAAAGCTGTCTTAACACTTTCAGTTCTTACAGTGGGAGAGTATGTGTCAGTGTAATCCTCAGGATATTTTTGAGTGTAACCTTGTGCGACTAATCTAGCTTTATATAATTTATTACCCTCTTCTAAATCTTTAATTTTGAATATCCATCTGGTGCCTATAATTGTCTTGTCCTTAGGTGCAGGGACTGGTGTGTATACACCTAATTCATGCAAGCTGTTCATTTCTCTTGTTATGGCTGATTCCCATTTTTCTCTCTCCTCCATGGGAAGTTTCAACACTTCCTCGTATGTGTTAGGTGTTGGTATCTCGTCATTCATACACATTATATAATCCTTATACTTATTAGGTAATTGGTTTCTGTTGCACCTGATTGTTCTTATTGGTATGCTCTCATTATCGTGTAGATATCTTGCTTCCTTTTTGGTTAATGAATCTGTTTTTATCCTGGTATGGTTACCTGTCCATGTTTTGTTTTTGTCATCATGTGTGTTATGTTCATGTTTCTCTCTCTCTATTCTGTCTTGTTGTTTAATGTTTGATTTCGTATTTTGGATTATCTCGTTAAGATGTATCTTAGACCAGTTGGCCTGTTCATGAAACACTGCTGTTCTTGAGACTATGAATTTGTTATTACTGTCAATGAATCTATATCCTTTTGTGCCTGTTTCGTATCCCATGAATCTGAGCCTTCTGGATACGTTATCTCCCTTACGTCTTAATTGTTTTGGTATGTGTACGTCTGCTGTAACTCCAAATATGTGCATGTGTGATATTTTTGGTTTCCTATTGTACATCACTTCATATGGTGTTTTATTTAGGATGCTAGACCAGGTCCTATTTTGAGTATAGTTTGAATATAGTAATGCTTCTGACCAGAATTGTTTTCCTAAACCAGCATCTTCTAATGTACATCTAATCATGGTTTGCAGTGTCGAGTTCTTTCGTTCTGCTGTACCATTCTGAAAAGAAGAAAATGGGCTAGACGTGAAGTGTAGCATCCCTTTGTCTTTTATCCATTGTGAGAATTCTTTTGACATGAATTCGGATCCCCTATCAGTCATGATTTGTTTTATTTTGATATTGTGTTGTGTTTCTACACGTTTGTAAAATTCTTTGAATTTTTGGAAAGTTTCATCTTTGTGTTTTAGAGTATAAACAAATCCATAACGGCTATAGTCGTCTACAATAGTTAGGAAATATCTTTTTTTGTATGTGATGGATGGTGTTAATGGGCCAACCAGATCCATATGTACCAGATCAAAAATTTGGTTAGAGGTTCTTGTTGCTCTCTTTGGTTTTGGGTTAGTTCTGAGTTTTGAGGATTTACATACTGAGCATTCCAAATAGTTTTTACAATCCTTTATTTTAACGCCATCAGCATGTTCAATCATTTTTTGTATTACAGGGAAACTTGCATGTCCCAATTTTCTATGCAACATGTGTGCACATTCATCATGAATTGGTTTGCCTATATTGGGCCTTCTGTTATTGTGTGTATCACTAGTGGGTGTGTCTTTGTGATTATAGTGTGTTTTGGGTTCTTCATTGTCATTGATGTTACTATGTTCACTGTCTATGTTAATGTCGTCATCAGTGTTTGCATTAATGTTATGCAACCATTTATCTTCTGTCACAAGAAAGGGTAGTCCCCCTTCGATAATCACACTATTCAATTTAGTCCCATCCCTTTCTAGTATTGCTTTTCCTCCAGAGAAGATTATATTTATGTTGAAATCTTGGCTTAATTTCACTGCACTAAGTATGTTATGTGATATTTCTGGTATCAACAATACCCCCTCTATTTTACCTAAACCAGGTATATTTACATTTCCTTTCCCTATGACTTGAACATTTTCTTGATTGGCTACTCTTATCATAAATTTATCATTTGTGAATGAAGACAGTATTTTCTTGTTATTTGTTGTATGATTGGTCGCCCCTGAATCTATGAGCCAAGCATTATTTTTTGAATTTTGTGTGATGACATTGTTATGTTTATCTAATCCATTTAATGATCCTGATTTTCTATCCCTTGAATTATCTCTATCCTTTCTGTGTTCTCTGTAGTTTGGGGAGTCCCTATATCTGTATCTATCAATAGATAATTGCCTGTCTTGATATCTACCCCTATAATCACGGTTTTGTCTTTCCCTATGAAACATGGGGCAATCTCCCTTAGAGTGTTTTCTGGATCCACAATTGTAACATTCAATTGTTTTTTGGTGATTCTCTTGGAAGGCTACTCTTTTTGCCTGTCTGTGTTCTGTGTATGCATTGTATCGACTTTTCCTCAAATTATCTTCAGCTATTAACTTATTTGACAGACTTTCTATGGATAAGTATCCTAGATTGATTGAGTCTAAGTGTGATATGTAGTTATCCCATGATGAATCTAATGAGTTAAGGATAACGCTTTTCATTGTCTGTTCTGATATTATTTCTCCTCTTAGATGTAATTCTGCTCTGATTTTGTTTAAGGATATTAAATGTTCACTTATGGTGATTCCAGATCTTAATTTGGCTGAAAAGAAATCTTTAGACATTCTAGTGGTTGTTGCTACACTTTCACTATGAAACAATTTAAACATGCATTGAATTATTTCTGAAACAGTAAGATTATGCTTAATACTGTAGTACATGGCAGGTGATATGCTAGAAATTATTAAATAGAATGCTCTGTGATGCAGGCAGTCTATTTTTAGATTCCAAGGTCTTTTGGGAGGATTGGTTATAAAAAATAATAAATTTTCTTTCATAAAGACAACCTGAATTTGTTGACACCATTCCTGTAAGTTGATGCCATCAATTCTAAGTTTTGGGAAATCATTAGGTAGATTCCCAATA